GATGTCATTTCGGTGGAAATTTTGATGAATTGTTTGAACAACTTTAGGAATGCATCGGGATTAAAGATGAAAAATCTTAAGTCTAGCCTATTTACAGCTGGAATACATGGGCTAGAGCTCGATGAAATCCAAGAACTTACCAATATTCTGAAGGGTACAATGCATTTTCAATATTTGGGCATTCTACTTGCTTCCGAGAAGCTAGAGATTAGTAGTTGCACCCCCTTTTGGATAAAATTATAGCTTATATAAGTGCTTGGACGTGCTCTTCTTTGTCCTGTGTGGGAAGAGCGGAATTGATTGGAGCAGTGCTTCAAGGAGTAGAATGTTTTTAGCTTTCTTTGCTCCCTATTCCAACTACAATCATTTCTAGAATCATAAGTCTTTGCTGTAACTTCATTTGGGTTTCAAAGAAGCCTTTGATTGCTTGGAGAGATGTTTATTTACCGAAGAAAGAAGGTGGATTGGGCTTTAGACACTTGAAGAGTTGGGATTCAGTATTACTTGTCAAGTTGTTGTGGAATATCCATAACAAAAAGGACACTTTGTGGATTCGTTGGGTGGATCAATTTTACCTTAAATGTGCTAGCATTTGGGAGGTTTTGCCTATGAAAGACAACTCACCACTCTTCAAAAAACTGCTTGATATTAGGGATGTTTTTGGGTAGTTTTTTACACTCGAGCAGTCCGACCATCCCTCTTTAGGCACACTGCCATGTACACAATGGAATGTACACGTAGTATAATTCTATATAAATTTATGTTTAAGTATTTCATGCATTAGTTTTATTTACTTGGTTATGTGTGAATTTTTCCCTCCTTCATAAAAACAGGCCCATTTAGCCCTTATGAAGCCCATCTCTCTTTCCATATCCTAAGAGCCTGTCAACATTAAATCTTGGTTAAAGCCCAGTATTTTCCTTAGGAACCCGTTAGAAGTTGGGCAATTTTCCACCCTGAGCCCAATAAAAATAAGTTCTTGGCCTTCCTCGGATAAGGCTTCTCTACTAATCCTACGACCACTTTCCCATTTGGATCTCTTAGCAACCCTTGATATTGATTTTTTTCTTTTTTAAATCTTGAATTAATTCCAAAAAATAGATATATATAATACGAGGCTAATTATGCAATCAAACTAAACAAAACATAACCATCAACCTTTCAACTTAATCCATTATTTTACTGTTTTAACTTGTACGTGTTCTGACATGACAATGAGAATATTCATTCATCCTTTTTCCAATATGGTTTATGCTGTGGGATCGCAACCACTATTTATTACTTGGTCAGGTACAATACAAATGACCTTTTCCCATTTGCATGGCACTTTTGGGTATGGAAAAAAGAACCAAATGACATGGCCATAGTTTCTTTAATTTTCCTACACATGCACTACACTAGGAATGACAAAAAAGCTCGTCGGCTCGAGCTCGGCTCGGAAAAAATGTGTGTGGTTGAAAAATTGTGTGACACATGAAAGATGTGATTAATATTGATTGTTTGACTTTGACTTAAATTAAAATTTGATTTTAATCCAAAACAAACAGGGCTTAAATGACTGTTTTACCAAAGTAGCCTACTTTGTCAAACACTAGCCCCAAAGTAGCCTACCACCTGTCATTTTGCCTAACTTCACTCGTCAAAATCTATTATTACTTCATGTGTTACACTTAAGAGGAAAACCACGTAGCTTCCTAAATCACATGGGATAATCATACTTTAAATTAGTTAATTAAACATCACTCAATTTGAATAATTACACATTCAAAAAAAAAAATAAATAAAAATAGTTAATTTATTAATGAATGCATCTTCTTGTTACCTTTTTCCATTAAAAAAAATCCATCTGGCCATGTTTGGTCCACATTATTTTTTTTATTCTCATTCTTCTACTCATTTTCAACCACACATTCTTCAATAAAATAATATTTTTCATCACATCAATAAATTTTCTTTCTTTTTCAACCACATATTCCCCATCATATCAATAGTAAAAATACATTTTTACCTTCAAAATGTGCACCAAACGAGGTATCTAGACATGAGTTTTCAAGCTCTTACCTATATAAGGGAGTGGCAATATCGATATACCTTACCTGTTAATAAAAAAATACAATAAAGAGAGACGTTATCATACTTTGAGACGTAGAAAATGAGCAAGTGATAAATGGACGAGCATAAAAGTAATCTCAAAGACACTATTCCCATCGCATTTTTAGTGGCAGAGATGATTTTTCAAAAAAGGCACACAAATCATATTAAAATCCAAGTAAATTTGCTTTTATCTTTAAAGTCAAAAAGGAAAAAGTAGGAAAAGAATTGTAAAACGTGATTATCGTAGTAATGACCGACATTAAATTATGAGACATGCTATTTGACAATCGAGGTTGACAACATCTCATATGGGAGGTTCACTTTTTTTTTTTTGAATTTTTTAAACATGCGGACCCCCCGCGCGCATGTGAGGGGTTGTCAACCTCTTATATACAAGTATATTAACTTAATTTAATCAGGAGGTTATTCTGGTCCATTGCATGTGCGCGTCAATAAGTCCGACATGGGATAGTTGTTTATATTCAAATGATGCTTTTAGTTATTTTTTCAAATGTAATATTCTTATTAAAACCCATTCGCATAAATTTAGTGACGAACAAATCTTTAGTATCCCGTGTTTGTTGAATGTAAATTATCAGTAATATTTTTCCGTGTTTTAAATTTTTAGACGAAATAGTATAACATGATATAAAAGCTACCGTTTTATAGAAATTTATGTATAAAATCTTTAGAGGAAATAGTTCGATCACTGCCTATTTATAGAAATTTATAATTTGAATACAAGAAATTATATTATATATATAATATACAAATAAATAAATTTCTTGACTTAAAATATTAAACATTTAAATAAAAATATGGTAATTATGCTGTCTTTTGCTCTTATTCTTATTGTAAAAAGCTCGTTTATTGAATAACATTCTTTTTTACTCTAAACTGAACTGATCCTTAGGACAATCTCACGCGCGTACTCTTGTAAAGAAGGACTTCGTCATATGTGCACTAAATTGATACACTTTGATTGACACTTACATTGTTGTCAACAAATAATTTGATGAAAAAATTGTTTAACGTTTAAACTATCCAATTGAATAATGTCATGACAAATTGTAAATCAAAGTGCACACTAGCTAATTTCTGTAAAGAAACAGCATGGTAGATTCTTTTAGCAACTTGCATATATGGGATTCAAGTGGGGAACAACTCAGAGTTAAATCCCCTCTCTCCCCTCAAATATATATATATTTTTTCCTATTTTAGGGTTCTATTCTTGAGTGCCTATGTAACCAATTCACTCTTAAGGAATTTTTTGTCCTTAGCAGATCTCGAGTAGTTGCCACTATCTTTTGGAGAGAGCCCGTGTGTACAGAAAAACACACCCAGAATGCATATAGTATACACACAAATAGGTGGACCCCTTTTTTTGACAATATTTAATTCACATGGGGCCCACCCCCATGTGAGTATCTGTATTTTTTTTGTACAAGCAGAAAAATTCATCTTTTGACCCATAAACTCCAAAAACAGATTCCAAATATTCCAATATATGTTTGTACAGTGGCCACTCTTTAGTTTCTGCGTGCTTAATAAAACCGCTTGTCCATTCCTATTAATGCTAAAATTATGATCAAAGCTCCGCTAACTTTTGACTGGTTTTCTTCGTAGTTCTTTAAAGGCTCAGCGAACCTAAGAGGCGAAGGAAGTAAAAGCTTACTGAAGTTATGATATGAGTTTTATCAAATGAAGCTATTAAAAGCCAGCTAACGGGATATGTGTCATTAAATTACATGTTCAATTAATTACAAGGAATTATGTTCCATTTAATAGGACTCATATTATGTCGACACTTTGATTTGTGTTAAACATCACCGATTTTAAGAAAGGTTGAACCCCAACCTTGAGGCCCTCCCATAGTCCCGCCCCTTGAACATTGTGGAGGAGATAAATCGGAGGATGTGTCTCAGCAGGTCAAGGTACAAGAGTTGCTATACTGGTGTCTACAAAGAGTCCAATTTCATACCTTGTAAGAGGCAGGAATCGAACCCCCACACTGTGATTGTCAGTTCAGCTGAGACTACTCCAATCCTGTCCTTTGCACCACTGAGCTATGCCCTGGGGGGCTAAACATCACCGATTTTAGATCACATTATTCTATGTCAAAAGGTGCATAAATGATCAAGTGGAAAAATCTTTGGGCGGTAACCACTTGATGCATAACTAGACGACGCGTGTACTTAGTACATATGTGATAGAAAGCTACACCAATATGGAAGTCATGTTTCCATTAATATCTTGACACGCCCTTTCGATACCCCCTCTATTGTGAATACTTATAAGTAACAAAAATGTATGAAAAGATATCTATATCATAGCAACGTTAATATTCCCCCTTTGTTTTGCTTCCTTCTAGTCAAGGTCTTGTTTGTTTAACTTTGAGAAGCTTCTCCATAATTTACTTGATCCTCGAAGGGCCAACGGTTGGGAACAACTCGTATGTAGGAGGTGAACATGTCAAGAGAAACGTGAAGAGAATCTCTTGGCAACTGAATTAGAGTAGATTTGGCCGTCAACAATGCAATATTTAAAAGCTTAGAGAGCCTAACCTTAGTAATCGATTACAATGCTTTTGTTTGTCTGTGTCTAAGATAGTTTAATTAAACATGCAATTACAAGTAGAACCCGGGAAGTTTCTTGACTAAGCAACTTTAATTTTTATATATGATTCTGATATTTTATTCTGTTTTATTGAAAAATTTATACAGAATTAAGAAAGTTGTTTTATTGTTTGCCTTAATAATGATGGCAGTACATACATTGTACTAGGGTGATGTAACGCATAGCACTATTACATCATCGACATTGATACATCATCGACTTTTATATAATAAATAGTACAAAGCCTCTTATATCAGTCGATGTACATTATTTTTTGTTACTAATATAATTTACATATGCACGGCTTCATCTTTATTTGTTGGTCGTGCAGACGAGTTATCCTCACTTGTGCCATTTATCTCAATTACAACATGATCACAATCAGTATCATTAATAGGTTTCACAATTCCAAAGTGAAGCAATTGCTTTTGCTGTTGTTTCTCTGGTGTTACAGTTGAATTGGCCTTCTTGAAAAGTGCCTTCTTGGAGAGTTCATGAATGGACTCTGAAATTTTCTCGACACATTTGATGATGTCTATTAGTACCGATGAAACAACAAGTGTGGGCATGATTTCTTGAAGGTCTTCTGTGGCTAGTGACGAAGAGCTTTCGATAATGCTTTTGAGTTCATTAGCTGCTGCTTTGGAATTCTTTACGTGGGTTTCAGCGTCACATGGATGTACCATGTTCTTAATTGCAGCGGCTAAATCTTTTAAAGCCTTGCCAGATTCTAAGCTTATGATTATACAAGGTTGATGAATCTTTATGTAAAATTCTGATGAAACCTGCAAGATTGAGTATTATACAACAATTATAACAAATTATTTTAAAAAAATTTGGACTCGAGAACATGAATTAATTGATTACACATTTAATACCTGAGTTCTCGAGTTTACGTAGCCACTGAGTGCTTCAATATGGCAGGCACATTTTCTAGCAAGGACACCAATCTTCAAGTATTGTTTCCATGGATGATGAAACTTAAAGCGACCATGGCCAGGCTCCCAGCATGCCAAATTTGCCTGAAAATAAATAAAGCATGGATCTGTAATGAAAACTTATTATTTATGGCATCAACTGTAATTTTAAACAAAGAAGTTTAATCTTCATTGAGCTGTAAAAGTTTAGGCCGTTAAAAACCAATGAATGAATAGTTACCAAGGATTCTTCAGTGGCCTTTGCATTCAGCACGCTTTTATATCCTTGAAGAAAAGACTTGTCATTTTTGGAGGCAACTACACTACCTTCATCTCCAAGAAACCTAGAAAATTCATCTCCAAAACCTGAAAATTAGTTTTTTGAGCAAGGTTTGTCAGGCACATATATTTTGTATATAAAAGTAACACATTTTTATGTTTTATGTGTCTGCACCTTTTCTTAATTCACAAGTACCATGACAAATTTTGGTCAATATTCCACACGTACCTTCTAAGAAGCTAGCAAGTTTTTCTATATTTGCGGCAGCCAGATTATGCAAATCTTGACCTGCCCAAACCGGACATATGAATATGGAGATCACAATACAGGTTGTGGCACCAACGAGAATTGTGGACAACCTTTGGTGAGCAAGCTGGATAATTTGGTCTACTCGATAGCCCGATACAGCCACCAGTGAGAACGTGAGTATGAATATCAAGACTCCATAGTCATACCTCCTCTTGATATTTGGAAAAAACCTCATAAATGTTGATGCTGCTGCTGCATTTAGAGATTTTGAAAACAATTCATCTGATGTTTAATGAAATGAAGTTTCATAAATGAATACTGAGTTTTAAAAGAATGGTTTTTCTTTTCTTTTCTTTTTTTCCTTTTTTATTTCCGGTAGCTAGCTAGCTAGAGTTTGCGAAGAGTTTAGTTTTTGAAACGTAGCAGAAATGTAAAGTGCTGCTCTTTTTGAAGTTTTGGAGCATCATATGGAGATTATAAATGAAATATTTACCTAAAATGAACACTAGAATGCCTAGAAGAACAGGCTCTCCTTTCTCTCCACAGAGGGTGGCCAAGTATTCAGCTCCAATACCTAAAGCACCTGCTAGCAATGTTGCAAAACCTCTGTTAAGGCACTTTGATATGGTTCCACCTGAAGAAAAAATTGATATCAAACCAAGATCCATTTACTTTATATAAGTTATATTTACCAAATTATAAATGATTTATAAACAATTGATAAATTTGCCAAACGGTGTCTTAGTATAGGGTAAAATTGATGATACGCGGTTAATATTTATATAAGCATTATAGCATATATAAGCTGATTAGTTTTGACCATGAACTTGTAATTACTGGACTTACCAACTGTGTATTCAAAAACAACCACAACTGTTAAAATTGCCCACATTCCAGCTTGTCCAAAGCCATCATAGAGAGGCCTGAAATAGTAGAAAAAGGACACTAATGTGAGAGCTAATCCCACTTTTGCAGAGTGTGTAATTCTCCTCGGATCATCTTGGCCGATCTTCTTGGTTTTCTCTGCAATTTCCACCACCTTGGCCTTGATAAAACTACATGATCGGGTAGCTTTTTCTCGGTTTGATAAATCGATTTCCATGAATAAATAATTTGGAATGGCAACCACAAAAGCCAAGTGAAAAAGGAGAATATGCAGGCCTTCTTATCGTGGACTTGCAATTTATAAGGACAGGCAGGCTAGAGAAATTCCTAGAGACAGACTTGTAGTTGTGAAATTAATGCATTTTGGAGGATTCTCACCTTCCTATATTTATGACATAGAAAAGTGGGTTGCAAATGCAATTGATGGAATATGTTGACACTAAAAAGTAGAAGAATCAACTTAAGTTAACTTTGAAAGCAAAATAAAGAGAAACTTAGAATTTTTATTGATAATCACTTCTAAATTACAAGTGTTTCATCAATAGAGGAATTTTGGATATCCCAGTGTTCTCTCCCTTATCCAAAGATACCTCGCACCCATTTTCTTGTTTTGTCAATCACCAGTGCCGAATTGGAAAAATACGTTACTGTCATATCTCCATTGGTTGCTGAGGTTGGCGTCAGGTTATCATAAAATCGTCATTTAAGTGGGTCCTTAACAATTAATGAGCTAGTGAGTAAGCGAAGCTACATCCTACGATTTGTGAAATAAGTGGGCGCTGACGTAAGTTCTAAATGCAATAATTAATTTGATTGGATGTTTTATCAGTGTATAAGGAATTTATAATCATTATGTTCCATCAAGTCACGACGTTACGAGCTGACCTTACAAAGTCGATCTCAGATTAAGATATACTAAATGTACGCAACAATTGGTCTTTAATTAGTGAATCTGAACTACATTTTAATTATTGGAATAAAGCTTTTCCACAATTTAAAGCGGAACAAAAATGGGCTAGCTTCAATTCACTTTCAAGGCTGCAAGCCTCCAACAACAAAAAAATTAATGGTTGCTGTTAAAAGTATGAAAAGTGCACTGTATTCCACCTAGCCTTGATCATGGTTGTCGTCTCGGCGACTCAAACGCACAATAAGGAAAGTTTACGAGAGTCGACTCAAACTGTTATAAAAGAGTCATCGTCTATCTACACATAGATTGGAAATGAACTTCCTTAGAGATGAATATCATTGCTCGATATAAAATTAGGTAAAACCCAGATTGCTAGATGAGGGGTGGACAATTGTGGGCATAACTTAAATAATATATAAGTGGGAATTGTTTATGATAAGTGCACTTGAGTCTTCAAAACGTACGGTGGCTTTTAAATCTCGTACGGAGAAAGAGGAATGACATTGATGACAGTAGGGTAGGTGTTGAATTTAAGGTAAGTCCATTATCATTCAGCTATCTGCTTTGTCGTTTTGGTGTGTATGCGCTCTAGCTGTTCACGCGTGTCATCGAGGATAACTGGTTCTAGCTCATGTACCTGGACATCCACGTTGGATTTCTACGTTTGATTCATGTATAAATAGCGAATAATACACGGTCCGTTTGATTGTAAGGATGAAAAATGGGTGGAAAGAAAATGAATTTCAAGAAAAATAATTGCCTAAAAATTGTTTTGTAAGGAATTATTAATTAAGTGTTTTTGATTAGTATAGTTTTTCATCCAGAAAATTTTAAAATTTTGTGTTCTTTTGATTTTATTTTATAAGGAAATTGTCCATAAAAGTGATAATTTTTTCTACAATTGATTATAAAATTTGTATCCATTGCCAAAAAGTAAACAAAAAACGAAAAAAATTTTTCCCTAAAAAATCATTTTTTTAATCAAAGTTTAGTATTCGTTTGACTTTATTTTATAGAAAAATTATCCATTAAAGTGAATTTTTTTTTACAATTAGTTATGAAATTTGTTTTCATTGCAAATAAAAAAAAAAAAATTGAAACGTGATCTAGAAAATCATTTTCCACCAGATTTTCCCCAAAACCAAGGTAAATAGGCGCGTGAGCCACCTAGCAAGAAAACAAAAGCCGAACCTTGCTACTTGTACAAAAGAATTTGTACAAAAATGTTGACAAACACTCACATGTAGGGGGGCCCACTTTTTATTTTCAATTTTTTATTCATGTGGGGCCGACAATCATTTGAGTGTTTGTCAACATTTTTGTCAAATTCTTTTTGTACAAATAACTTTATTCACAAAATTTACACCACCT